CTAAGAATTTGTCAAAATGGTCATAAGGCCACAACATAATAGTTACATTCAACTCCTCACCCAAGCTCATTAGTCCTATAGATATAAAACAAATCAGTTTAAGGACCTAACACATAGCATTTCTTTCATGTGATTGACAAACATGTTTATTTCATAAACACTAATAATAAATACAATATTCTGTCCATGTATATTTTTTTTTGGTCTGCCCACAAATTTATGACAAACTCAGTGACACATTATGCATTTATGTATTACAATGTAGGATGACTATAAATGATATATTCCCACAAATTAATGAGAAAAATTGGTTAATGCAAAAAATGCAATAAACAATATTTCTACCATAACATGTAAATATATAAAAAAAAATATACATAAATGATTTTTTGTTCTTTTACTGTTTAATGAATAAAAGCAAAAGATTTTATCACGTGTTTGACTCATCCATCACATGTCGTAATTAAACCTGTTCCCCTGTAAACAATTGATTTATAAACATTTTATTTACTAATTACTTCAATCAATATTTGAATGAAAGATGCTTGGATATTGCTCATTATATTAAGGCTGAATTATTATTAACCCTTACCATGTGGGGCCGTAGTACCCAGACCACCGTTATTTGGCACCAATGGCGCTCCATACATTTGAAGGTCAACGTAATGCCATTTAATTCGAAGTGTATGCATGTTTCCTCAATCTTACACCATTAATTGTGATCTTTCTCACTTTTAATGTTCATTTTGAGCTCAAATACGAACTTGGAAAATTAAAATCGGACAAAATTGGGTTATTTGGAGGGGTGGGCTTACCTTCGAGGTCTGAAACACGAAGTTGTGAGGCCTGAAACTTGGACAAATAGTGTAAACCCCAAGGCATATAACTACTGATCGTGTTTGTTATCAAAATACGCCTAGGCAACGACTACTTCCGGTTGCAGGTCCAGTTAAAGTAAAAAATCGGAAATTTTTAGAATTTTGGTGCAAATGACCTTTTTTAGACTGGTGTACCCAGATCAGTTTCACTCGGACCTAACAACTGTTGTGATTAATGTATTCACTGGGGTCCACTCTACATGCAAACTACAGTTGGATGCATCTATTAGCATCCCTCGGACTTCCAGGTCGAGAAAAAGAACGTAAAAACGTCAAAATTGACGCCTTTTGCACATGAGGACCAAATTTGGGGCAAATTGCCGCCCACACTCCCCCGTCTCCTCACCCCGACCACCCCACCCCGTGATCCCCTATCTTTGATTTAATGCAATCAATATGCATCAGCATCAGGGTACAGCTCATTTGCATATAATTTGCATATTTTTGCAAATAATCGAAAATTAGACAATTTCTGAAAACAATTCAGCATGGTAAGGGTTAAGTAAATTTTTGAACCCAGAATACCATTAACCACAGAAAATAGAGAGAGTTTTCTAAAAGCTCACACTTTTCAACATCTTTGATGGAAAACAGTTGTTTATCCATTAGGTCTGCTTTTCACGGACCAATAAAAAATTAATGGACTTTACAGTTGTAGACAATTATGGTCCTGCATCCTATCCATACTTGTATTTGTCATTACACATCTGATCTTTTTGTGTTCTGGTTTCTAATGTGCTTCAGTGCATAGCTGATGAGTCTAGCCTTTTACAAATGATTTTGTTATGCTTGTTCTAGGTTGTGTTTCTACAGCACTGTCCTAGATGAGAGAGGTCGTTATGTACCTGTCATAAGTCCTAAATCAGGATCCTGTAATTCAGTGGTAGTTGTTGGTTGCTGTCTGCCACACTTGATTTTTGTTAGTTGTTTTTACCATAAATCAGGCCATTGGTATTCTCTTGTGAATTGTTTCAAATATTGTCATGAGGGACCTTTTACAGCTTACTATACATGATGGGTTTTGCTCATTGTTGAAGGCTGTACAGTTAAAGTGGCCTATAGTTGTCTGTCTATAGTGCATAGTTGTCTCATTGACATACCACATCTCCTTATTGTTCTATTACAGGATGCACATATTTACAGTTCTGCATTGAACTTCAAACTGGGATGACTCACTTTGGGAAAAAACTACTAGGACTCAAGTTATCATAAAATGGTAGTCCGACAGTTTTGACCACCAAAATTTTGCAACGGACAGACACAATTTTGGTATTTTTCAAAAATATTAGAAATAATAGTGAGGACCAGCAGATTAGACTTTCTTCAAGGACCGCCTGGGAAAAAAAAGATTTTGAAAACTCTGGAAACTGTTACCATCTTATGATCTACTTAGATGAATTAATTGCAAGTTTAAGTCAATTGCCCTTAATATTTTCCTTTTATTTTAACTTTTCTTATAAAACCATGTAAAGGTAGTAATGTTGATGTCATCTAACCACCCACCCAACTCCCCCCTTCCTCATTAAAAAAAAAAAAAAAAAAATAGTCACCATCCCTTTTATAGCATAAATAAACTGTAATGTGTATAAAACTGAAATATCACAGTAATACACATAAATAACCTGGAAAACATCCAGTAACTTTCAGCCTGTGGGTAAATTTTTTATTTCACAGAGACATTTACATAACAGATTAGTTCTTCCACATCTGCTTCAAAACCATATCTTCAGGCTCTTGCAAACTTATCAATCAAAAATCATATTATAATTTCTCAATATGGTGAATGACCTATTTGATGTATGGCATTTCAAAATGGAATCTGTTTGCATCAGATATTTTTTAATCTAAAGACAAAGTTCCTGATAATTTTCAGGTTATTAAAGAAATAGTTGTGAAATAATAATTATACAGGAGAAAGTCATTTTCAGATCATGAAAAGAATGTGTCCAAAGTACACGGATGCCCCACTCGCACTATCATTTCTATATTCAGTGGACCGTTAAATTGGGATCAAAACTCTAATTTGGCATTAAAATTAGAAAGATCATATCATAGGGAACATGTGAACTAAGTTTCAAGTTGATTGCACTTCAACTTCATCAAAAACTACCTTGACCAAAAACTTTAACCTGAAGTGGGCACTATCATTTTCTAAGATCAGTGGACCTTGAAATTGGGGTCAAAACTCTAATTTGGCATTAAAATTAGAAAGATCATATCATAGGGAACATGTGTACTAAGTTTCAAGTTGATTGGACTTCAACATCATCAAAAACTACCTGGACCAAAAACTTTAACCTGAAGCAGGACAGTTGGACGGACAAACGAATGGACGCACAGACTGAAAAACATTCTTTTGGATAGGGGTATACTTACCTACATGACCTATATATATGTCACTTTAATATATATTTTTCAGGCCTTGTAATAAAAGTTCTGTCTGTCTCAAAAGTAAGACATGTTAGTGGGTCAGCTCTGCACATTTACATATTTTCATAGAAGTAAAAAAAACTTTGGACAAAAATTTTCCTTGTTCAATGAGTGTTGTTAAATTTTAAAACTATTGGCAAACAGGAAAGTGGCTACTCTGCAGATGTAAAAACTGCTTACTCGCTACAACTCAACATTATCAAGCTGAAGAGCAAATACTAATTCATTCCCTTTCATAGAAGTCAAGAAAATTTTGAAGAAAATTTTCCTTGCACAATGAGTGTTGTAAAATTCAAAACTATCGACAATAGGAAGTGGCTACACAGCAGATGTAAAAATTGCTTACTTGCTACAACTTTACATTATCAGGCTTTACACCAAATATTAAATCATCTTCTTTCATAGAAGCCAAGAAGACTCTGACCAAACTTTTCTTTGGGACAGAAGGGCAGACAAACAATTGGACAGAAAGACAGACTGACGGAGTCAACTGTTACTAGACCTGCTTCTACCTTCGACAACACAGGTAAAAACAGCAAAATGCATGTTTTTTCTTCTGTTTAATTCTGTTGTTGGGCTGCTGTTATAATGATTTATACATAAAACATCATCTTCAGCCATCAGGAAGAACAAATAGAACATCTTATCAATTATTTTAAGAAACATAAAGAACCTCTAATCTGCCTTATCAATTCATAAAGAACATCTGCTCAGCCTAAAGGATACTCAAAGAACATTTACTCAGCCTAAAGAATACTCAAAGAACATCTGCTCAGCCTAAAGGATACTCAAAGAACATCTGCTCAGCCTAAAGGATACTCAAAGAACATTTACTCAGCCTAAAAAATACTCAAAGAACATTTACTCAGCCTAAAGGATACTCAAAGAACATCTACTCAGCCTAAAGGATACTCAAAGAACATCTGCTCAGCCTAAAGGATACTCAAAGAACATCTGCTCAGCTTAAAGGATACTCAAAGAACATCTGCTCAGCCTAAAGGATACTCAAAGAAGTAGTTATGGAGAAATGTTTTTCTCAAATGTTATAAATATTTAGCCAAGCTGCAGACCAAATATGAAATCATTCTGTTAAACAGTATCTGAGTAAAGTATGACGAAAATAATTGTAAGACGAACAGACAGATAAACTAAGGAACTGCAATAAAGCCCACACTCCTAAAGTGGTAGTATAATGAGTCGCATGGCAGAACACCTTCTCTGCCTTTCAGATCCATTTTCTCTTTAATGAAGGTCATTGTGGGGAAACTCCTAGCATCTTATAAGCCCAACCTTCAATTAAGTCACTTGACAAGAGTTAATACCGATATATTAAAAGAAGCTAAATTAGTTTCCTCTAAAATGTACCTTGGCTATTTATAAAGGATTGTTTCCTCTTAAATAACCTAGCTATTTATAAAAGTGTGTCACCTCTTAAATAATCTAGCTATTTATAAAAGATTGTTTCCCCTTAACAAGATGGTTATTAGTCATCACAAATTACTTTTTTTCAATAAGCTGCATATATATCAAATTAAATAGTACAATAATTTCAAATATTTCTGATTTTTATTAGATGATTCTATAGCTGGTCTATTTGGAACTAAATTAGTCCCTAAAACATTTTTGCTGAATTCAACAACTGCATGAAAAAAATTTTCTTCCATAGCTGTCTCTGACATGAAGTTTACTTACTGATATCATATGACTTTGACTGTCCTTTCCCCATGATTCTTCTTGTATGAGTTCACTCCCTTGTCTACAACTATTGTTACATCCTTTTCTAATTACAATATCTTGTGGTCATGAGGCATATCCTGAAAAGTAGATCAGTAAAATTCACTAATAATGAAGTTTCACTGTTAGTAACATAACTACCACTTACAATACTTGTAATGACCTTGCGAAAAGTATAATTTATGGGCTACATCATACATGTACATTAAAATGAATATACATAATTACATAATGATGTAATCAAAGACCTGTGGGACAATTTCCTTGTTATGAGTGTAAAATCTAATTGATCCTATAAGTAGGCCTACCTCAGGTAAACAGATGTACAAATTTTGGAAAGTATCACTAAAATCTCATATATTATGTACAACCAGACAAGTGCTGAATTTTGTAAACTTTTTAGTTTCGGGTTAATGTGACATGATGCTAATTACAATAATTTGAATCTTCATTTCTTTATGCAGATGACATTAAAACAATGTACACAGGAGCTACATGAATCAATGGTGCATTATGGTCAGCTACTAAAATGATTTGAAAACAGTTGATTTATAAATACTGACAATGGTTTTTTACTTTAATAAAAAAAGTGTTGGTGTAAAGCATTTTATAAATTATCACTCATAGTTTTGCGTTCTAATATGCTACTAGCATCAATTGACCAATACATTTACAGAAATCAAATTTTTTATGGAACCTCATGTTTTTGTCTGCTCATCAACAATTACAATAAAAATTTCTGAATTTGCAAAAATTGTATAATGAATTTACAAAATGTCTGCAGAACAAATTGTTTGAGGAAGTTAAAAATTACATGAAAACATTTTCCAAAACAATTCATATATAGACATGACAGGTGAAAATGTCACAGCACATAATGCAAACAATCAAAACTTGTCAAATTACTGGCAAACTCAAAACAATATGAACTGCATCTGCAATATTCTCAGCCATGAAACCTACTTATTGAAATGTCTGCACTCGTCTAAGTGTTAATTTGAACTAAAGTCATTAGAAATAAGTTGATAATGAAGTACACTCACTCCTGACAATAATGTTTTAAGATTGTCAACAAAAATTAGTGATAAATCGTTTATGTCATTTTGCAAAATTTATATTATTTTGCATTTATGATAGAATACAGATATCGATAGAGCTAAAGGGCCTTACTGATTTATTCATCCCATGAAAATTAATGTTTATGGTTTAAAACAAAATTGATGTTTTAACATAAATGACATAAGAATATTGAATTTTGCAGTTCTATTATTTACTTCCAATGAAAACCATAAATATTAGTGTCTCAATATACATGTAACATGTGTAATACAGAGAATGTATAGTATTATTAATCGAATATTTTCAAGGATTTGTGATTTGTTAAAACTTGATAACATGTACATTTGTATTTGCTCAGTTTGCACGCCAATACTGTTGTGTTTAGCTTTTCGTAGGTCAAAAACAGCATATTGCACAGGGCATACAGCATGTTACTAGAAATCCCCAATTTTACATTGTTCATGCAATAGTTGTTAATTAATAATATAACAATTGTAGCCTTTGGTTGAGGTCAATACGATGTTATATCGACCTCGAAAAGCATATCAACCTCAGACTTCGTCCTCAGTCAATATGTTTCTCTTAGGTCGATATAACCTCGTATCGACCTCATACAAAGGCTATAATTCTATAATGCAGAGAATGTATTCCGATTCAGATGTCCTTCACTAGAGAATTTTCCAATATTTTCATGGAAATCTGAGCTATCTGAATTTTGTTCAGTTGTTTAATGTGTACCTAAGTCCAGCATTAAGTCCAAAATATATGTGTATTCAGGGGAATAACATGTTACTGAAAATCCTAAATATATTACCCTACTTATATACAGGACTGGATTCTCACAGAAGGCATATAACTCAAACATATTTTTCGAACTCTTGAGTCAACCAACAACACCAATTTTTATATGTCAATCAAGACGCACCAAGGAGCAGAACAATTACAGTTGAAATTAAAAAAAATGTATAAATAATTGTGAAGAAAATACAATAAAACTTAAACTATCTAGGAAAGGGAGACAACAAACACCATGTAATATTCCCAAAGATAATGAGTGAGTGAACACAATCTGAGTACCGCTGTATTATTGAAGGAAGAGCTAGGGGCAACACATATCTTATTACTTAATTTTGCTCTTCTAGTCTTTATTAAACTTTCTATTAATTTTATCATTATATTATTAACCAGTCTTTGCTCTTACCCCTAAATGCAGCATTGCTTGATAGAAAAGCAGTCAAATACCAATTCCTTTGACCCAGCTGAGGATGGAATCCAAGACTTTTCAAACACCAGGCAAGCTACCAAACCACTGCTTAAACCGTTTTTCAAGTTGGTATTAAGTTTTGAGAGTAGGATTATTCACAAAAAATCCTCTATTTTGTTTACAGTTAGTTTCTCTCTTAATTCCATATGATCTGTATGCCAACTTTGATTGTCTGGTTTATTTCTGTGTGAAAGCTAGGATTTTTTTTTGGCAAAGCCAGAGAACATCAACAAAAATGTCATGAATGTAAATGTCACAATTGTCACAATCAAACTGCATAACTTTTTTCAAAACATAAAGAATAGAAAGTCCACTATACTTCAACCTCAAACATACTAACTTCTTTAATGACTAACATGACTAAGCAAACAAAAACAGCTACATTATTTCCAAATAAGTCAGAATCCTTCATAAATGCTCCCAAAGTGAACTAAAACTAAATTTTCATACCAACATTCAACAATAAACTTTAAATTGTATATAATTATGTAAGAATCAATTTTTTTCCTCACATAGAACACCTGTAAGCTACTTAATTAAAAATCACTATCAAAGCGCAAATTAATCATTGAAATGATCAATTCATTATTTAAGCTTCAAAGATAAATTCATTTCCCCCGACATAAATATTTCAGAAATTTCCATTTATTTTTGATTGAAATACATGTACTTAGTGGTAGATAACGTTCTATCTTGATATGCATGAAACCATATAATGATTACATCAAACTGTGGGATGCATAGGTAAATTACAATTATTTTTTTAACACGGTTCTCTTCATTTTTTTTAAATTTTCAGAATACCCTGGCTCAAGTCTGACATGTTTGATAGAAATGGGCTCAAGGCCAATCTTTTACAGGAAATAACAAAAGATTAAATATCAAAGTCCCATTTTCAATTTGATGTAGCCAGTTGCCTTGGGAAATTTACTCTTCATCAACTACTAAAAATTCATATTTGCTGTCAATGGTTCTTATGTTTTTTAATGATTTTGTTCCATACTAAATATCAGTTGGGTTTTAAACTACCATATTGAGTAACCTTGTCATACTAAATACTGTCTTCAAATTGGTTCAGTGTTCTCAAAGAAAATATATTTGAAAAACCAGACAAGAATGAATTTGACAGGAACAGAAACATAAACTGTTGACACAATGATATGCAATTTTCATATTATAATTGTCAATGTATACATGTGTTTTGCCTAACAGAAATTCCCCTGGAAACTTTGTTATAGATAATGCCTAAATATCTGTTTCTGTTGGAACAAATATTCTGATACCCTTTACTGTGTCATGTCCGTAATAGACAAATGTGGTTATATTTGTTCAAGTAGAAAAATATTATAGAATATTTCTTCCATTTGGAACTAATGTTTTAAAGGAACTTCTATTGCATGAAATAATACATATATGTTGAAATTCAAATTTCAACACTTAAACATGTAAAGTATGCAAAAGTCAATGGATCAGCCCAAGTGGGCAGGACCAAAAGTATTCTCCATATGGAAATGAGATGTGTCGATGCTACTACTGCATACCTCACAAAATTGACCTATTATTGATCTGAGCTTTAACCTTAAACTGGCTTGATGAAAAACTTGTGACATGTAAACTATGCAAAAGTTTCAGTCAATGGACCATGACTAAGGGGGCAGGACCAAATATTCTGCAAATGGAAATGAGATGTGTCAACACTATTTGACTTGCATACCAAATATCATTGACCTACCATTTGTGGTTAATTGAATTGATCACAAGATTTAACAAAGGTTGATGTGGCTGTCACCAGACAACTTCGGTAAATGACTCACTGCCCAAATTTGAACTCTGTGTGTGTGTTGTGGTTTTTAGTATTGTGTTTGAGTTCCATAAAGTTTGCATGATGGAAACTTTAGTGGGGAATGTTGAAGTGAAAAATTAGCAATTTTCCAAGTAATAAAGGGGCATAACTCTAGAACGGTAAGCAACTCACAGCCCAAATTGGAACTCAGTCTGCCACTTTTAGTTCTAAGCATTCAAGCATTGTGCACGAAAATGGGAAGGACTGTCAAGGGTAACACTTAATGCCCCCATTGCCTATGGCGGGGGCATAAAAACCTGTAAATTGATGTATGGGAAAATGAAAAAAAAAAACCAAAAAAAACAGCAGAAAGACTTTTCAGTTCACAACTGCAAGTTACTGCTGACAGTTGGTTTGAAATTTTGTTAGAAAGAGCAAAATGCAGCAAGTACATGAAGTACATGTCTAAGATTTATTTGTTTATAAAGTCTGCTTCCAAATTTCATAGTAAAAATATGTAACCAGAAAAGGAAGTTACAAAAAGAACTTTTTTAAAAGTCTACTTGTGTGGATTAAATAATAATCAACTAACCTTATGACATCTAAATAACTTTCTGTATAAGAAGTTAATACAATGAGGAAACAAACATTTGATTTCCTTCTTTGAGAGATTAATTTCACAAATGTGGCATTTAAAAAAATTCAAACAAAACCTAATTTGTTCATTTTAAAATTACTTCAGTGTTGACTAATGTTAGTAGTTCACTACATTTGTCTTTTTTAAAGGGATCACTTTAAATGAATCAAAAGTGTGAAATGATTCCCCACAATGTATTATTGCCTAAGATTGAGATAAGTTTTTTTTTTAAATTGACAGAATTGATTCTTGATCTACCTGCATAAAATGAAAAGAAAAACAAATCTTTCCAGCAATATGAAAAAATAATAAATTTATAATGCTGATCACTAGAAAC